ACCCTTTGACTTGGCGCCACGGTACGCCATGTCGACTCATCCCAGGTCTGTAGTTCGCTTGTGGTAGGCCTACGCTGTCGCTGCCAGCTCATGCCGTTCAAGACGGTACCATCTACTACATTCCCAACTGGATTTCAGTCGAAGAAGAGTCCAGCGTCCTCGATCAAGTGCATGCAGCGGCGCCGTCGGCGTGGGTGCAGCTTAAGTACCGGCGCCTGCAGGTCTGGGGTGGCAGCGTCACAACGACATACGAGCCGGAGCCACTGCCTCGCTGGCTGCAGGCGCTGTCGAGTGGCCTCGTGGAAGCCGGTGTCTTTGCGGCCAGCGAGACACCCAATCACGCGCTCATCAACGGTGGGTCCATGCGTCGTTTCTCTATCTTGGGCTCAAGCAATGTCCTGTAGACTATGCTCCTGGCGACGGCATCTTGCCGCACGAAGACGGCCCGATGTACTACCCGCTCGTAGCCATTCTGAGTGCGGGCGCATCTGGGCGCATGACGTTCCAGCGCCATCGTGAGACGACGCCAAACGATGTCCCGGTTCATTTGACGCTCGACCGACGCAGCCTCTTGGTCTTCACGGGCGAGGCGTACACCAAATACCTCCACAGCATCGACAACGTCGATGACGAGCACGGCGTCAACCATCGCATCTCGCTCACGATCCGCCACGTCCGTCCACCGTCTACGGCGTGCTAAGATGTGGCCTTCTTGGTTGTTTCTATCGCTTTGCTTCCCGGTTTTTCGAGCGCAGGTGCGAGTACTGGAAAGCCTTAAAAAATTGCGTGTGGCCCAGGTGGTATTCAACGCACTGAACGCCATATTTGGCGCCAAAAATATTGTTTGAAAGGTCCTAAATACAAAAACTAATATTCTCCATCGCGTGATTGCATTGCGGTCAACTAACTTCTTGCCTACTTGCATCGATGCAGCGCAGGTAGCTAGTGCTACGGAGCATCGGCGATTGGTTTGAGTGCCAGGTCGTTTTCAACGCACTGAACGCCGTATTTGGCGCCAAAAATATTGTTTGAAAGGTCATGAATACAGAAACTAATATTCTCCATCGAGCGATCGCACTGCTTTGGATTTGATTTGTGCAAACTAGCATCGATTGAGCGCAGGTGCGAGTGGTGGGACGCATTCGGAAATTGGGTGTGGCCCAGAGGGTTGACGTCCTGAAAAGTCGATTTGTTTTAATGGGAAAGGGACAATAGACGCTTGGAAAGCGATAATTACAACGACCAACTCCTCTCTTCAAGTTGCCACGAAGGTTGTAACTGCGTCGTGGTTGGCGCCAAATTGACCGTGGCGACTTCCAGATGGAATCCGGATGACTAGCTTGGCAACAACACAAGCGCCGAGCTAGGCACCCACATCACCTACCTCATCACGTTCTATAGTACTCTCGATCGCTATTGGCGAGTCAGCACTTGTTCTCTCGTCCTTTCGTTCCTTGCTTCGCAACCGACGCCGCTCTTCCCTGTCATTAGCACGTGGCATTTGCGAATCTTGACCGGGCGTCGAGCGTCTCCTATGCTATCTGGCTACGATTCACAGCGACAGGTTGGTTCTGTAGTTAAGACAGAGCTCAAACTGGAGTACACTTTGCGATGCTTTGACAAGAGCTTGATATATGCACGCAACGATTCCCCTGAGCAATCATCCGGCGTATCGCAATTGTTTGAATATTGGATTTTGCGTGCCACCGACAACCAAGATTAACATGACAGTTCGCATTCGAGTTACGGTTACGAAGTACATTTGTGAGGACGATCCCGAAGAGTTGGCGAGCGTAATGCCTTCGTTCACATCGACCGGTGAACTAGGGATCGGGAACGCAAAGTCGATGCTCGTGTGTCGAAGGTTCGCAAGGTCCAAGGGCCTCTACGACAAAACGAGAAATGAGATGTTGCAACGGGTGTAGGAACTAGTGCCGCGAAAGCATGGGGGCTGCTGGACTTCGCTGTAGATCTTGAGGGCATCAGCCATACTGAATTTGCTGTTGTGTCGCATCGCGTTCTCAAAGCCTTCTTCATCATCGAGGTTGGCCGTGAGGTCCGGCGCCGGAAACCACTCTCGAATGAGCTCGTCCTGAGATGTCGCTGCCTACATGTACGAAGGGTCGGCGTCGGTACATCTCGCACTTGTCGTACCGCGGCCGAGGCAGGTGTCGAGGACTCCGCCGCCTTCGCGGCCTTGACCTTCTTGGGCTTTGGCTCGCTGCACCTTGCACGGCTGCGCTGCGTGGACGCTTCGTCTTCTGTAAGCTTGAAGTAATTGCCCCGGCGCAGAGCAGATACATGCATGTGCACCTTGGCGTCGTTGACCATGCTGCTGCGTCTGGGGCGATCGATCACAATGTGAACGTATATTGTTTCAAAATCGACCAATCAGAAGGCCAACGAAGCATAATTTAATCCAATCAAATGGCGCGTCAGACTGTGGCAGCTCGTCTAAGATGCCACGCGAGATCCATGAGATACTGGACCTCGCTTGTGTGGCGCTGTCGAGGCCAAGCGTAAGCCTCACTACGCAAGGTCTCAGGACGGACAAAGATATGTTGCTTGTGAATCAATGAGCTATGAATAAAGACATCTTGCGGGTTGGACAAAAGCGGTGAACAGGCGAAGCGTCTCGCTAAACCGTCACGGCGACTGGCACATGGACGAAGATCCGACCATGCTCGCACGACGAGCAGTATACGTCATTCTACCCTCGACATTGTGTCGACCCCAACAATTTGACTTGGCGCGAAACTGGTCAGGCTGCGCTGCATCGGGATTTCTTCCTCAAACGCAAAAGCAATTCGCAGGGTCTCTATTGAAGAGCTCACCCCGGCGCGGAGCTGCCGCAAGAATTCGTTGCGTCGCAACTTGCGTGATTCACAAAGACTACTGGCCTTTGTATGACATGGGTCTTTACCCGACATTTGATGCCTTTCAAGATGAGTCGGACGGCTCTGTTTCTTGGCGATTTTCGGACTGCCACGTCATTAGTGTTGCGTGCTGCTAGCCTTAGTCGTTATGTCAGTCTTGACTGGCCTGCCCCTGATGTTTGCTGTACTTGTTTGGTTAGTCGTTTTTCGCCTCCCTAGGATACCGAATATTCATCCGGATACATTTGACAAGGCGGCAGGATGCAGACGACGGTCGTGCTGGCCATGACGAGCCTCCTTGCTGTCTCGGCCATGGCGGCGTGGAACGCGCTGGAGCAAGCGAGCTTAGCGGCGTGCCCCTGCGCGGAGGCGTCGCTGTGCTTGCCTGTCGTTTCGGACCGCCGCTTTGAGGTGTTTGCGTTCTCGCCGTCAGGAGGCGACAACTGGCGCTACTACGACTACTCGGTGCTCACGACGATCGCATGGAACCTCGACAAGGGCTTGCTCTGCCACGCGCACGCCCATGGCGTCAAGATCGTAGCGCTGCACAACTTTGAGCACGTCGACCAGCTCTGCAACGCGAGTGCGCGCCAGGCCTGGGTGCATGCCACGTACATAGCCATCGTGACCAACTACGCTGACGGCGTCAACGTCGACACGGAAGCCGAAATCACACGCCACGACCACGCTGCCTGCTTGACGCTACTCTTGCAAGAGCTACGCGTCGAGCTGCAGGCGCATGCGTTCACACGCCACGCCCAGGTCCTTCTTTCTCCTGTTGTAGCCGTCTGCTCATTCAACTATAAACTAGATTACGTTTGACGTTGCGTGGTCGCCAAGCGGCGTCGACCAGCGCTACTACGACTATGCCGGTCTCGCCGCCGCTGCCGACTATGTCTTTGTCATGGCGGTATCGCAATTATCTCTCAACAGAACAGAGGATGCTTGAATGCATCATGCACATGTAGTACGACATGCGCAGCCAGCTTTACGACCATTGCCTCGCCGGTGCCAACAGTCCGATCGCACAAGTCCAGCGCGGCCTCGACGATTACATCAATGGCGCTGAGGTGCCCAAGGCCAAGCTCCTTCTCGGGCTGCCCTGGTACGCCTACCAGTACCCGTGCCGCCACTACGACCCAATCTCGGACCTCTGCTCGCTGTCCGCGGTACACTTTTTGTTTGTATGTTGTCCTTGTGATGGAACGTACTATGAAGGTACCGTTTCGCGGCGCACCCTGCAGTGACGCGGCCGGCGTGCAACTCGACTACCACGACGTCCTAACGCAGCTCGATGCACCACCAACAACGCGGCGCTGGGACAACGTCACGGCGACACCGTACTTTGTTCATCGTAACGCCACAGGCGGAATTTTTCAAACGTGGTACGACGACCCCGAGAGCCTACGAGCCAAATTTGCGCTCGCGGCAGACCTCGGCGGCCTTGGCATGTGGCACGTCGACGCCCTCGACTACTCGGGCAAGCACGCGCCAACAGCCTCGACGCTCGCCATGTGGCAAGTCCTCCACGACGCCGTGCCAAAAACCACCATCGCGATCGTCTCGGACCCCGTAGCGCTCGCATAATCGATGATTCCTTACCCTACCCCTTGGTGTCATGTCGCATCGTCTGGACGCAGCCATAGGAGCGGCTTTCCTCAAGCGCCAACCTTGCTACACCATGTATATAATGGCGCGGGATATATAGAGCAAGGCTAGAAATTATATAGAAATGGGTTAGGCATTATATAGAGTGGTTGGAACGCAACACTATTTGCGATGGCGGTAGTCGTCGTCGTTGTCGTGGCGAAGGTGGTCGTTCTCGTCACCAAGGTGCAAGCCGTGCTCGTGCTCGTCGTCGTCGTGGGCGTCGTGGTGGTGAAGCATGCTGAGGTACTCGGCGTTGTGGATTTCAAACCGGCGGCGGCGAATCTGGCGGCCAAACTCGCCGACTTCGCCTTCGTGGATGTCGTGGTCGATGATGACGTCGAGGACCGCATCGCACATGCGGCGCACCTACGCTGTTTCTTTACATCCCTCTTGATATGGTGGTTACCTCGATATTGGCCGAGTCGGCGGCAAGGAGCAGGTCCGGGAGCATGTTGCAGCCATACAGAATGTCATCCAGCGTCTCGGGGTGCCGGAGCATACGGTAAATGCAAAAGAGTAGCTGCAATGTGAGCTCGCAGTCGTTTTGCTTGTCTTGGAAGATCAAGTGGAAGCTTCGGACAATGCGTGATGACGTGATCAGCGGCGCGCACTTGGGCTCGAGCATAAGCGCACTGACAAACATGACCACTTGCAGCACGACGTCGTCCTATATAAGGACAATATGTCCACAACACTGCAAATGATAGGAATATTTACCTGAGAAAAGCCGCGCACGAGCAGCTTGCTCAGGAACGGTATCACCGAGACCGACTGCGTGAGGAGCTTGTCCCATGTTGTCTTGGCCGGCAAGTCGTTTGGGGTCATGTTGCCCAAGGTACCAAGGATCTCGACTACGAGATCGTGGTTGTCCGAGCCTTGCGCGAGCTCGAGCAGTGGCATGACAAACGGCGCCCAGAGCCCCTTGTACTTGTAGTTGCGCTCGGCCGTGAGCTCTTCTTGGATGGTGTACGACCACTGGGAAATGTTGCGAATGCACTACCAAAAAGTGCGAAAATGTTGAAAAATGAACAAAACATCGCAGAAAATGCAAGCAAGACGCAGCGTCTTACCTTCATCAGGAGGACGTCACGCGTGCGAAGGACGCGCTGGACGAGGGCTTCGAGGCCCTTGCTCTGCGTCATCATCTCTGCGTTGCGCGCGTTGATGCTCAGATTGACTGCGAGCGCCATGAGCTCCTTGGCGACGATGTTTTGGGGAAAGTTGATCACGAGCTGCATGACAATTGGGATCGCCTCCGTGTACGTAAACATCGACTTGCACCGGTCGTCCATCGAGAGGTGGTAGAGGAGACGCAGTGTGAGCGCGCGGAAAGGCGGTTTCTTGAGCAGCTCGACGAGACTCGGGACGAGGCTGTTTTTGACCATGGCCTCGCGCACGCGGGCGTCCCATGAGAGGTTGAAGAGGAGTTTGAGCGCAATCTACCTCTTGTTTTAATCATTTTTCGTGGTATACTATCGCACCTGGGCCGTCTTGTCGTGGTTGCATTTGACGTAGCGGATGATCTTTTCCGGTACTTGGAGCTCGATCATAGTTTCCTTGTTCTCCTCGAAAACGCTAGATAAATGAATCGTCGACATACATCCATATACGCATACATGACAAATTGTACCTCAATTTTTTGAGAAACCCGATCGTGAGAATGACCAAATCGGGTGTCACGCGGTCGAGCATCTTGGCCAAAAAATGTACAATCTTCTTTTTGACCATTTTGCGCTCCGTGTGAATGTCTTCGGCGAGGTTGAAGAGCACGCTGAGACAGACATACCTACATACGTACAACAAACATACGTTGTCATCTCTGATGGTCGTCTGTACAATAGCTGGTCTTGCTTTTTGAGCCGCTTCTTGTTCTTCTTCTTCTCGGCCTTGAGCTTGGCGACCGCGTCGGCCTCCGACCCTGATTTTTGCTGCTCGGCGATCGTCCGCTCGAGCGCGCGCTCTTCTTCGCGCCGGAGTTCGTGGCGCTTGACCTCAAAGTCGACAATCTTGAGCGTAATCGCGCCAATGCGGTAGTTGCTCAAAATCGGGTGCAGCTGGAGAAAGTTCGAGTAGCACCAGAAGATGCGCATCATGTTGAGCGAAAAGTCGTACGACTTTTTGTACTCGTCGTTCAGGACGCGCGAGAGCAGGCTCTAGTCGTTTCGTTAGTCGTCTAGTACAAGAAAAGCCAGTCGAGAAAGTAGGGCCATAGGTACCATGAGCGCTTCGTTCTGGATGAGCACCTCAATGTTGGCGCCAAACTCCGAGAGATTGAGAATCTGCGTGACGCCGTCGAGCTTGGACTCCATGTCCTCTTCGTATAGCTTCTCCATGTACGTGTCGAGGTCGTCGAGGTGGGAGCGCAGTCGTGCATTGCGGTCGTCTTTCTCGGCTGACACTGACGAGGACGACGTCTTGTCCGACTTCTTGGACGTTGTCGACGCGCTGCTGCGAACCTTGGACGACATTCGACAGTCGTAGCCACACAGCCAGTCGGCGCGACTCCTCAAGATATACACTGTGTACGATGAGCCGAAACCTTCGTATCTTTGTGGAAAGAGTATCAACTTGATAGTCGTGCGCGATCAGGCCTGGGAGGCGGGCGACCATGACAACGACTGCTGCCCTTAGCTAGAGAGGGTGGACGAGTACGCAAAGGACAAATGTCGGCGTCTACGTAATAACTGATGCCGAGTAGCGCTAAGATCTTATATGTGTGAAGTAGGCGCAAGCCAGGTTGTGTCATGACGTGTGTATCGATTAGGGTACTATAAGCATTCTACTTGGCCATTTTTTCAACCGCGATCGCTTGGACCTGGTTGGCGTCGACAAAGTATGCGGCGTTGCAGTAGTTGCACGACATGGTCACGCCGCCTTCCGAGACGAGGTCGTGGAGGTCGTCCGCCGGCAGCTGGTGGAGACGCATGACGAACCGCTCCTTTGAGCAGCGGCAGTAGTAGTCGACAGGCATGCGCTTGCAGTCGTCCGCCGAGATGGCGACTTCGGGGAAGAGCACGTTGAGCACACTGAGCATGCCTTCCGACTGGACCATCTCGAGCATATCGAGGGCCTCAAAGAGCCGGAGTCGGTCCTGAAGCGGCGTCGGCTTCTCGACCTGCGGCAGCTCTTGGACCGTGATCCCGCAGCACGCGACCGCGTCGTTTTCGCCGACGCCCGACTCGATCTTGACGATCGTCGGCACCTGCTCCGAGACGTCATAGTACATTTGCCAGTCCGCTTGCGCGCTGCCCATGCTCGAGAGGATCGTCTTGTACGGCTTGGCGGCGCCGTACAGCACCTTGTCGACTTCAAGCACCGAGTACGCAGTCGGGCCCGTCGGGTCGGGACGCGTGTAGCCGCGGACCTCGCCGACGCTCATGGCTTCGACCTGAATGTGGTGCGACGCATTCTTGAGGCTCATTTTGACGCGCTCTTCGCCCTTGAAGAAGGCGCTGAGCATCGTTGCGCCCGCCATGTACTCGGACCACTCGCGCGTGTCTTGCGTCGAGAGCACCGGGTTGTGCTGGTCGGTCCACTTGGCGCGCATGACGTTGGCCACGTTGGGCGCGTAGACCGCTGCGACGCGGTAGCCGAGGCCGTTCACGAAGCAGCGCGTGACGAGATCGCGGGTCTTCTCACGGGCTTGCAACATTGTCCGTGTTGTGCGCTAGCAGGACCGACGCCGAATTCGGCGACCTTGATTGGCCCGTGCGACGCACCATACAAACTTGCAGTCACCGAGGTTGCACTTTCCAGCAAGGGTCATGGGAAACTAACATTGTCACACCTTACAAAGGCTATTTTTGTATAAAAACCGCCACACTCGTATCTAATCTATACCACCATCTTTTAAAGGACAGCGAATGTTAGTTTCCCCACCAGATGGTGGCCAACGCCAAGTGCAAAATGGCGGCAACCGCACGGCCCTCGCCTTCCCGCACATTGTGCGCGACCAGTGCTTTTGCAGGTGCTTGAGCATGTTGAGCACAATTCAATTTTTCTCGTGCTCCATAGCACCGTCTATTACACCAAGAACACTCATCAACATGACCACCAACGGTAACACGATCCCCGCCGACGTGTGGCGGGCCAACTTTGGCCCGGTCATGGCCACGTCCGACCCGCTCATCGCCAAGACCGTCGAGTTTGTGCGCAACGCACTTGCGTCCAACGACGCGTCGCACGACTGGAATCACATTGAACGGGTGTGGCGCATGAGCGTGCGCATTGCGACTGAAGAGAACGTCGCCCGCATGGACTGCGTCGTCCTCGCCGCGCTCCTCCACGACATTGACGACTGGAAGTACGCTGGCAGCGAGACAAGCGAGCGCGCGCTGGCGTTTCTCCAGTCCCAGGTACACACATCTCGCTTTTACCGAAGACGTGTCGTATTCCATGACTTAGAACGTCGAGCCCGAGAAGATTGCTTTCGTGCTCAAGATCATCAAGGGCGTCGGCTTCAAGGAGGAGCTTTCGGGTGGCGTACGTTGTCCTTGCCATTTAAGCACGAAGGAGCTCAAATTCATATAATGCTGCACAGGCGGATGCGATGTTCCCTGAACTCGCGTGCGTCCAAGACGCCGACCGCTTGGTACGCAGCGGAAGCAGGTGGATGGTCGGTCTTAACCCAGTGCGTAGGACGCAATCGGCGCACTCGGAATTGCGCGCTGCTTGACGTACGGTGGCCACAAGAAGCGCGTGCTCTACGATGTTGAGAATCCTCCGAACGTCGGTATGGACAAGGACGCGTACATGAAGAACAAGGACGGCGCAACGCTCAACCATTTTTACGAGGTGAATCCAACCGAATCTCAACGTTAAACTGAATAACGGCAACGCTAGAAACTCTTCAAGCTCAAGGACATGATGAAGACGGCCGCGGGCCGGCGCATTGCGGACGAGCGCCACGCGTACATGGAAGAGTTTGTGCAAAAGATCTTTTCGGAAATCGCGGGCTTGTCCTAATTATAAACTTCAACGTGCCGAAATGGCCTAGACTGGAGTCTGCATGTGGCATAAATATCCTAATCCAAAGTATTTTCGGCATTCAGCCCGTGCACGCAGCGATAACCCGGTCGTCCTTGCCGTGGTGTGGACGCGTTCCAGACAATGGCGGCCGTCTTGTGCGTCGTGTGGCTCAAGTTCATGTCGTTGAGGGTACCCATGAAGCGACGAATACGATAGACCGCCACCCACGCATGCTATGTCGTGCTTAGAAAGGCGGTCCTATTCCAATTCGGCATCTGCCGATTGCAACTGAACGAAGCTGGCAGTCGTCGTTTTACCAAGGAAGGAAGCATGGTGCACATCATCAACGGCGAGATCGTCGCGGACAACGACCCGCGCGTGCTCAAGATCAAGAAGCAGAGCTCGGAGCCACCCAACTATGGCTCGGCGCGCTTTGGCAGCACGCGGGCGCCCGGCGGCAACATCACGACTGTCAACAATATGGGCGACGCGCCGGCACCCCCCGTCTCGGACTCGCCCTTTAGCCGCTTTGGCGCGGCCATTGGCATGCAGGGCACCGTCAACATGCCTGCGATCCCGATTCTCTGCATGCGCAGCGCGCCTGTCGAGAAGGTCACCCTCCTCATCTTTGTGATCCTGACGCTGCTCCTCGGGTGGCGCGCCCTCGTCTTTGGCCTCATCATCTACTATATTTATCAAGCCCAGCGCCCGCTGCCGTAGTAAGACGGGATAATATACGAGATGCCTTGGCCCGTGTTCTCGTGCTCTGATCAAGAGACTCTGGATCCGGTCGACAGCGGGCCGAGGTTGGGCTCTGAACCTCCTCCTCCTCGTATCCTATGGCGGCATCAAGAGCAGCTACAGAAGGTACAAAATCCTCTGCGACTCGTCGAAAGGTCCAACACGCATGCCATCATGTGCACCCTCTTGGAGGCTCCAATGTGGTTGATTCAGCGGCTAGGACGTGGTCGCCCTCACTCTCGATGTGCAATCTCGGCGCTAAGATCTTATACCTTGATGGCCACAGCCACAGGGATGCAGGAGGCACACGAACGTGCACGAGACGAGGCAGGCAATGCGGGAGGCAGAGCATGCTTCGTGCGTCGACACGTCGCCTACGAGTTGCCGAGGACATGAGCAAGAGAGAGTGAAGAGGAAGACGAATGTGAATTGAATCTTTATTTTTATGTTTCACAAAACCCCAAAGCCGATGATGTTGATGGGGTCGGGCGCGGGATAGCCCGACCGCGATAAGTTAAGATACATCCACACGCAGTCTATCCACTACTTCCTTTTTCTAGTCTTTTTAAATAGGGCGGGGTTGCGGCCCAGGCTTAAATAATCAAAGTTTCGGCCGCTTGCTCGACGCAAGGGGCGAGAATGGCGCCACCACCGGCGCACCGCACCCATAGGGCGGCGAGTACGGCGTGTACGAGGGCGACGCGTCCATGTCGTCATCGTCGTCGTCCATGCTGAGGCGACGCTTCTTGGACGTGCCGAGGTAGAAGTACTGCTCGTCCTCAAAGGCCTTGTCGGCGATGTCGTCGGGGGTGCCGCCATTCACCACGTCCGACTCGAGGTCGGTCGCGTTGTCGCCGTCGTCCATGCCCGCAAAGGACAAGGGCGACGTCTGGTCGTCCGTGTTGAACTCGACCTCTTCCAGCCCGCGGTACGGGTGGAAGCGGTTGAGGAGCTCGACGATACACGGACTCAACTTGCTTTCGTCAATGCCATCGCACACGTACGCTTCCAAGATGAAGGTCGCCGCGTCGATGAGCATGTCTTGGTTCGTACGCAGAACGCACTCCCACGGCTGGCTGTCGCTGGTCGTGACCGAGTCGGGCACCGTGTTGTCGAGCATACCGGCGAGGTACACGGCGCCAGCAGCAATGTCGTCGGCGTCGAGGCGCAGACACAGCGGCGTCCGGCTGCAGTCGTTCAAGAAGCTCCACGTAGTCTTGAGGAGCGTGTTGGAGAGGACCGCCTTCATGTCCGCCGTCAGCGCCGTGTGGAGTTCCACGAGGCGCTCAATCTTGTCGTTCAAGAGCATGTGCGGGAAGGCCACGTCCAAATCAAAGCCGAGCGCGTGCAAGACCACGTACTCTTTGGCCAAGATGGCCTCCGAGATCGACTCGATCGTGTGGTAGCGCAAGGCAAACTCGAGCGTGACCGACCGGCGCTGCGCAATGTAGTGCTCGGCAAAGTTGGCGATCGCGAGCGGGTGGTCCTCGGCCTTTGCGCCCAGAAAGAGGCACGTGGCCGCGACAAGGTACTTGTCATGGTCCGTAAAGGACTCGCGCGTGAAGAACCGATGGAACAATTGCTTGCCCGTCGAGTCGGCCAAGCGCGGGATGCGGAAGATCTTGGCGAGGCTCTCGAAAAAGATGATGCCATTCTTCCGGAGCTCGACCTCCTGGTCCCACGCAATGCCCTTCCGGCTCGACGGCGAGCTCTTGAGCTCGTCGTCCGTCAAGAGCCAGTCGTTCGTGCACGTAAAGGTGTACGCCATGGCCGTGGCTATAAGTCCTGTCTAGGAGCACAAGCACACGTGTCAATCGCCGCGGCGAATCGCCATGCCACCCACCTCGCGCCGCAGAAGTCTCGGTCGAGGCGACGATGCAGAGAGACAAAGAGAGAGAGGAAGTCTAGGCCAGCACCATCATGAGCGCGAGTCGCCGCCTCATACGCATCATGTACCCGGGACCCGTCGATCGAGATGGCGGGCGACGGCGAAGAGGAAGAGCGAGGGACGGTCACGCGAGGAAGACGATGCTGTCTTCGTCGGTGGAGCTGAACAACTGAATTTCCAACCGGAAACCCCCGTCTTTTTCGGATGCCATACAAACCCCAAGAGCAATCGGGAAACCTTCTATTTTAAAGCGTAGCCACCACTCAGAGCCACGGGCCAATCCCGATCGTCGTTTGAAAATATTCCGCCAATCACGACGCGAGATGCATTTCACATACAAACACCAAGTTCATACACCGCATTACGTAATGCGAGGCACGGCCTACAAACATCGAGTAGTGGACGGAGCAGCACGCTTGTTTCTCCGCCGCGCGAGAAATGGGCGCCCACGTCCCATGCGCTTCCTGCATCCGCCGGTCCTTTGATGACGGGATACGGCAATGTCGCCGAGATGCAGGCAAGTGTCAATGAACCGAGGCAGAGAGCGCTGCCAGGAAGGCTGGTTGCTAGAGGCGAATGAGCCTCGCAGCAAGCAGCGGAGGCTTGCACGCGCTCGTGGCCGCCAACGTCTCGAAAATTCGAATGGCGTGCGTTCGAAATCGAACGAATACATTATTTCGTAATTGTGTCGCCAGAGATTCGAAATGGTCTAAATAGTGTAGGCTGAAGAAAATACGATCTCTGTGCGTAGACTGCTGAGAGGCCATCACCGGTCCCAACTCCTTGCCTCGATCCTCTGAGCGCGCTCCTATTTGTATGCGCTGGCTTGTCGGCGACGAGATATATGGTACGCCGACCACTCGTGCACGCTGGTTCGTACAACAGTCCACGTGCAAAGGGAAACGATTTGCGAATCTCGCAAGAGAACAGAGAGAAGCATGAATCTGGAGACATTCATCAAGCTGTGTTCGATCTTATTCCGCAGCAACCGCCAGCGATGGCGAAACCTCGGACCAACCACGTCCGACCGACGACGTTGGAGGATGACCGACGTCTGACGCTTGGCAGGGGTGAATACCTATTATGTGCACCTGGCCCTAGTTCAAGTGCCCTTGAAAACTCCTTTCAGCCTTGTTTCATCCGCGGGTACTTGTATCCTGCACACCTGCAGAGATATCCTGACGTGAGCATGGCCTAAGATATGATTTTGGCGCGATTTGATTGGCCATTGGAAGAGATTTTGGGTCTTGGACAAAACTCAAAACGAACTGAATAGCTAAAAACATGAGGAGCAATGCCGCGCATCGATGTGTCGATGAAGCGTGAAACTCAACTAAATCTGGCGCAGCGTTTTGGAGTTGGACCGCCATTTTGGAGCGCCATGGGGCGACGTATCTTCCATGAAGCGCATTGAACAAGTGCTCGCTGCGATTAAAACGTCGCAGCACAAGCAGCATTTCTTAGCCCAGGCGTGGCCCACGCGCTTTAGAACAAACTCAATAGTTGTGGCATTGAGTCGTTCACGCTATGCCGGTCGATTCTGAGAGCGAGATGTTTGAACGTTGAGGTTACTCAAATACAAAAAGCAAGCTGATTGGTTGGGTTGTAAAACTCAAACTCAGCACCGTTTTGAGCCCACGAGTCGGCGGCAACACGCATTCCGACATCGTTGGTGAATTTAGGACGCGATGGTGGCAGCGACGATGGCGCCCAACCCGCAAGAAGCCCCGCCCATGATGCTGTCCCAGGAGACAAAGGAGAAGGAGGGTCCCGTCAGGCGGCAGGTGTCCCTGAGCGTCGTGCAGCGCGTCGTGCAGGCGGCGAACGGCGTCAAGCAGCTCGGCCTCTTCGCCTCGCTCCTCGCACCGAACGCGCTGCCCACCAACCGTGTGTGGGCCGCGGCCAATGCAGGCGACGACATGCTCGTGCTGCAGCACTTGGCGGGCTTGCCCAACGACGCCACCCAACTGCGCCCGGTGCTTGAGTACACCAATCGCCACGGACAAACGCCCTTGATCGCCGCCTGCGCCAAAGGTCACATCCGTTGCGTCCAAGCGCTCCTCATGCACAGCGCCAACGTATACGCACAAGACAACCAAGGGCATACAGGCCTCCATCACGCTTGCTTGCACGGCCACTTTGACCTCGTGGGCGTGCTGCTGAGTGTACAGGACCCGGCGCTGCGCAACCGCGAAGGCCTCTCGGCCATGGATGTCTGCCGGCGCAACATCGATGGTCATCGACAAGTACTCGCATCAGCCAAGTGCCTGGAGCTTCTGGAGCAGGTAGTGCCATGTGAGGATGCTACATAGGCTCAACATGCTTGTAGCGCTCCCGGCTCTTTGAAGGATGGCTCTACGAAAGCGTCAACAACCTCGCGTCCTCGGCTTTGGGCCTGCGTAGCCTCCAATCATGGGTTCGCCGGTACACTGCAGAAAGTTGTGCTCCAACTGAAAACTCAATGGGTGGGCTAGGTACGCCGTGGTCTTCTCGGTGGGATCGCCCGATTTTGTCGAGATTGCTTGCTTTGACGTGCAACACGGCTTGCGCCAGCTCACGCCCCAGTACGATATGTCCTGAAACCTCGCGTTTGCTCAACTTACGTGCTAGGTCGACGATTCTCTTTCGCGTGCACGATCCCGTCGTCCTCAACTCGCAGCGCAAAATGTTCAACCCCAAACCCTACAACTTTACAATTGCTGGGTCTCGCAAGATGCCCGGCGGGTACCTCGGGCGGCCCGACCTCTTTGAGCTCGCAGCCTTCAACGCAGCCGAGTACGAGCGCTGGGCGTCCTTCATGTGTGTGGCTGCGGTGCGTAGGATTTGAACCGACGATGAAGTACTTATGAAATACGATTGTATTAGCGAGCCATGACCGCCCACGGAGCCCAACACACGGCGCCGCCACGTGGGCCCTCACCAAGCGATCCACTGTATACCAAGAGCGCCTAGTGCTTAACCCTCTACTAACTTATGCCACGTCGAGACAGACGCCATGGCTCCTGCCTTCCGTGCCGCGTGTCCATGGTGCGAGACCAGCCCCAGTGGTGCCCATACGTATCCGCAGGACTCGCTTCACAGAGATGTCGTGTTCTTCTACATCAACATACACACACTGCATGAGAAATGGCCATCGGAACTTGATCAAGGCTAGAGGCTGGAGAAAACCTGTCGACAGCATCCTCGACCAAACTGACTCTCGCAAAAGGCTCGACAAGACGCCAACGCCTTCGCCATGGAGCTCTTGAGTCCCAGTGTGCGACGTCTACCGTCAATAAAGGACGATGGGAAACACAAGTACTAGGAACATGGGCAAATAGCTCATTCTACACCGTCCTTACCGGTACATCCTGCGCGTATTTGGCGAGACGTTGTGCACCGTGCGAGCGGCTCGCTGTAAACTGAGCTCATTCTCGACATGCAACTAGGCAAGTAGGCTAGGACGTTGTTGGCATCGATGTGCAGTATCTTCGCGGACAGCAATCACGCTGTTTGCGATCTTTGGGTTCCAGCGATGCCATTGGATGATAGTGGCCTTGCGAATTTTGACCAATCGGCAGCATTGTGCAAGATGGCGGCCAAAAGCAATGTCGAAGGTTTTGATGACGCGGCCGTCGTCGCCGATGGTCTGCTCGACGATGGCGTCTTCCACTTTGAGCAAAAGCATGTTTTCTCGACGCAGAACAACCCGATGTGCGGTGTCACACTACCCCAGTGGTTCTCGATCCTGTACGCGCACGGCCGGTCCATTGAGTGGCAATACATGGTGCGCGCGGCCTTTCTGACGCTCTCGTCCATCTTTACTTTTTCGCTCGGCCTTCTCGAGTCGCTTTGGTACCCGTCGCATGTCATTGAGGCGGTTTCGCTGCCGGACGACCCCATCTTTGTCATTGGCCACCCGCGCACGGGCACGACGCTGCTCCACAACCTCCTCGCATCCGATAACGACTCGTTCTACCACTGCACGACGTTTTGTGCGGGCTTTCCCAGCTGCTTTCTCTGGTTTGAAACGTGGGGCAAGCGCCTCTTTGCTAGCGCGATTGCGCCGACGCGCCCGATGGACTCGATGCCACTGCACTTTGATTTGCCTCAGGAAGACGAGTGCGCAACGACCGTCCTCTCACATGGTGCGAGCTACTACCTCGCGCTCGCCTTTATGGCCCAAGAGACCCGCTTTCGCAAGTTTTTGACGCTCTCGCCCGACGACGGCGCGACACCGGACGACGAAGCCCGCTGGACGCAAGCGTTTACCTTTCTAGTCAAGAAGCTCGCGCTGCGGTCCTCGCTGCGGCAGGCACCGTCGACGACGCGTCGCCGCCTCTTGCTCAAGTCCCCGATTCACACGGCGCGCGTGCCATTGCTTCGCAAGCTCTTTCCGAAAGCGACGTTCATCTACCTCCACCGCGACCCGTACAAGGTCCTTCAGTCCTCCGCCCACATGGCCAATACCGCGTTCTGGTACATTTATCTCAACACACCGACGGACGAGCAAGTCACCGAGTACACACTCTGGCAGTTTGAGCGCATGTACGATGTGTACAATGCCGCGAGCCGTGACCCGAGTACCGGCGCGCTGGCCAAGGACATTCTTGAAGTGGCCTACACCGATTTGGTCTCGTCCACCATGACGTCGCTCAAGCGCGTGTACGCGCATGCAGGCATTGCCTGGACCGACAAGATCGAAGCCAAGTTTGAAGCCCAAGTCGCAGCCTTGGCTGGCTACAAGGTCAATGACTTTGTGGAGCTGCCGCCGCGACTCCGTCAAGTGATCCAGGTGCGGGCGGCTGGCTATTTCAAGACGTTTGGCTATGCCACATGAGTTGTGAAATCATAGCCCTACCGTACCCTAGCCCTTTTCAAGTGGGCACTCTTTGCGTGGTGGGTTCAAAAAGGACAGGTTGTCGACACAGAACACTGGTATAGGAATATAGTAGATTGGGTGTTTATACATGAACGTCTTGAAATAGCCAGCCGCCCGCGCCTGGATCACTTGACGGAGTCGCGGCGCCAGCTCCACAAAGTCATTGACCTTGTAGCCAGCCAAGACTGCGACTTGGGCCTCAAACTTGGCTTCAACCTTGTCGGTCCAGGTAATACCGGCCTGCGCGTAGATTTGCTTGAGCGAATGGACAGTCGAAGTCGCCAAGCCGGCGTAGGCCACTTCGAGAATGTCCTTGGCCAGCGCGCCGGTACTCGGGTCACGGCTCGCGGCGTAGTATGTGTCGTACATGCGCTCGAATTGCCAGAAAAGGTACTCGTTGACTTGCTCGTCCGTCGGCGTGTCGAGATAGACGATGTTTTACGGAACGCGGTGGAGGTAGATGAACGTCGCTTTCGGAACGAGCTTGCGAAGCAATGGCACGCGCACCGTGTGAATCGGCGACTTGAGCAAGAGGCGGCGACGGTTGTTTGGTTGCTGCAGCTGCGACCGCAGCGTGAGCGTCTTGATGAAAACAGAAAAGCTGGTGTCCAGCGCGCTTGGTCCTCAGGCGTCGCGCCATTGTCGGAGGAGAGCGTCAAGAATTCGCGAAAGCTCGTCTCTTGGGCCATGAACACGAGACCCAGTAGCTGGCGCCGGACGAGAGGGCCAAGGTTGCGCACTCCTCTTCCTGCGGCAAATCAAAGTGCAGTGGCATCGCATCCATCGGGCGTCTCGGCGGAATCTTGGACGCAAAGAGGCTCTTGCCCCAAAATCAAAGACACCAGCCCAGAAAGACGATGCAGAAGGTATTTCTCATGTAGAACGTATCATCGTCGGACGCGAGGAGGTTATGGAGCTGCGTCGTGCCTGTCCGCATGTGGCCAATGACAAAGACCGGGTCGTCCGGCAGCGGAATCGCCTCAATGGGTACACCAAAGCGACTCAAGAAGGCCGAGAACGAACGCCACGGTCGACGAGAACGTGAGGTAGAGCGCGTGGCATGCACTTTCACTCAATGTGACGACTGTACGAGTAGAGGACCGAGAGCCACAGCGGCAAGGACACGCTGCACAGCAAGTTTTTGGAGCGCGAGAATACATGTTTTTGTTTGAAATGGAAGAGACCATCGTCGTCCGCCATGTCTTCAGTCGTCTTGTCGGTCGCTTGCACTGTCTTGTCCACTGACCGATACAATAATGGGTTGTTTTGGCGAATTGTGTTGGCGCGTGGACTGTCTGGCGAGATGTCTCGTTACCGACATGGCCGTAACGGGCATCAAAAGCGTTTCATCTCAGTTGACTGTAGACTTGAAACTGCTTGTTGGAAGTCCGCGTTGAACCGGCTGGAAACTTCCCTAACCCTATGGATTGCTGTAGACAAGTTGGCAAACAGTGCCAGCCGAGTAACTGACGACCTAAACGCGTAGACCCTTTTACGGCAGTGTTGGTAACAAGTTGAAGAGGACACCTCTCGTTCTACCACCTTGGACCTTGCTCGAAGGTTGATGATATGGGAGCCGCATAGAGCACGTGGCCTAGAGACGACCCGAGCTTCAAAGCAATGAGCCAATCTCTCGTTTTAAAGGGACACAGCTGGGGGCAACGTGCCAAGTCTTGCTGCTACAAAGGACGCATGCGTTTGGTGTTGCCACCATTTTCTCGTACCACGAGCGACGTTGCTGAACATGGAATTTGATGGACAAGCCCTCGGTTCGACCCTCTGCAGCCAATGAGAATTCCATATAAGTCTATATTTGGCCAATCAAATGCAAGCATGCGGTTTTGACGAGCTACACCAAGCAAGCAGCCTCAGCATTGAGCGAGTTGATTTCGGTCGGACGGCGCTTTGACAAATATTTGATCAACCGAGATATATAAAACCAAGGCCTGTCGCTGTCGGGTGGTCCGAGTACAGGAGCCTGCGTACGACCTCGCGCGAGCTATAACTCGGCGAGTGGGGTCCACCACGGGATGGATCTCTCCGTACGCAGC